CGACTCACAGCAGCCCAGCTCCAGGTTGAGCTGTTGTTCAGCATCTTAGCTGTAGAGGGCAGTGTCACTGGCCCTCATATGTGGGATCCAAACCGGGGGCCCTCTGGCGTCCCAAGCCAGCTCTTAACCATCGCGCCACTCGGCCGGCCCTGGCTCATTGGAATTTAATTTAGGACAGCTCAGAATTTTTCTTTTGTCATTGCATAAGTACTGATTGCTCCTCGGTCCAATCGGATTTACAGAAAAAAACTGTCTTGAGTCAGAATGTTAAAATTTTCCAAATGGAATTTTGACAAGACTGTTAAGGGGGAACTCGTAATAGGACAAAGCAAGGTCAGCAGAGCCCAGCTTTGGGTCCTAGGGCGGCCAAAGTCCAGCCTCAGAATGACCCCACTTAGTTCAGGCACATCCCATTTTCCACTTCTTCCTGCGGTACATACTAACATGTGACTATTGAGCATTTGACATGTGGCCAGAACTGAGGGTTGTTTTTCAAGTTTTGATCATTTAAATTTCGTCAGATGTGGCGAATGGCTACTGTGTTAGACAGTGCAGTCATAGACCATAATTATAACCTGGAAGAAATTTTATTGTTAACTAAATCTGTCATTTCTATTATTTTTTTTAAAATGTATATTTGGATTACTTTTCCCTTTTTTTGGATTTAACAATAGTTTTTCCAACTTTTGTTCCCTTGCTATTTCCTTCCACCACCAGAGTAATGTGCATTTATTCCCACTTGTGGTCGTCTGTTGGATTTATTTTGAAATAAAGTCATTTATTTTTCATCCACAGAGTCATCAGATTCTGCCAAAATAGGAGGATTGGTTACTACGTTTTTGATAGTAGCTGTCTTCGTAAGCACCATAATACTACTGCGACAGATTGGTTGTATATGCTTAACAAATAAGCTCCCCAAAGTGCTGGTATGTAATTTTTTTTTAACTTCTCTCTTTATTTTTTATTTTTATTTAATTTATTATTATATACTTAAATATTCTCACAGAAGAAAATCCCATTTTCTAAAAATACCAAGGGGCTCCAACAGTCTGGGTTCTTTTCTGTCCCTATAAACATATATTTTGCATTTTATATTTTCTTTGTCTACTTTGTCCATGTATTCTATGTAATGATCATATACTGTTCCATTATGATGAATGTATCATTTTTCCCTTAATCATTTCTGAGCTGTGGAGCATTTGGATTGATTTCTTTTTCATTTCTTTCCCTTTATTTTCTTTCTTTTTTGGCCATTAAGAAGTATGCATTGAACATTTTTATACAGATTTTTATACAGGGGACCAAATACACAAAGTGGACTTATGAAAAAGAAAAGAAGTCCTTTATAATGCCAGTGATGGCGTGTAGGTGTGCACGTTTCTCCAAAGCTCTGTTAACATTGATTCTTCATTTTAACCAGTGTTGTTCATAATCGTATGTATAGCAGTCCCCCATGGTTGCTGTCATTTGTGTTACTGTAATTATTAGCGAAACCAGCCACTGCGCTTGTCTTCGTGTCTTCTCTGTGCTTCCCAAGGCACATGCTTTCTGTTCAGATCCTTTAACCACTCAGCCAAGTCTGGGTATTGATCTTCCGTGTTTCTAAAACCTCCTCGTGTCTTTTGGCTCAAGTACGTTTGTCCAACAGTTCTCTTCTTTTTCTTGCTGTTTTTACTGGTTCGGGTGGTTTAGGGGAGGGATTGTTTATTGGGGTGGTATATGTACTCTTGGATATTTTAATTACAGTTAGTCTTTGAACTTAGTTGGCATTTGGCTGTGCTTTATGAGCTGTAGATGGCTCTGTGTTGGGCTCCATCCACACTGTGATCCATGTCTTGCAAGAATGGATGTTTTTTATCCATCAGTGTAGCATATCTTCTTCATTCCAACCCTTCCTATCTGCCATGCATTGCTTTGACCTTGAGGTCTTTGGTAAATCCTGCTCCAACTCATATTTCTCATGCAGCCTAGAGATATAAAGGCCTGTAGCACCACCCATACCTTCCTAGATAAATCTTGTGCCTGAATTACCTAAACTCATGACTAAACCTCCCCCCAGGTCTTCCTGGGGTTCCCCCCCTCCTCAAGATGCATCAAAATTATATGCCAATTATATATATGCCTATTATCGTGTTAACCCCAAATAATTACAGGAGGTGTTGTTATCTCGTGTCTGTCTAGTATTTCTCCACTAAAAATTGTTGCTCTGTGTTTAAGTAAAACTCTAGGGACAATAAAACAGAACCCTCTAGATCTAGTGTGTTTGTGTATGTATGTTTAATCAAGAAGAGATGTTAAAAAATTTTAAATGCATCCATTCTTATCTTTTCTTCTTTTTGCATTTATCAAATATTTATTGAGTATTTAGTTTATGTCCATATGTTCTAGATACTAGGGATATAGAAGCTAACAAAACCAAAAAAGGCTGCGCTCATGGAGCTTCAAGTCTGAGCTCTAGTGAGTGCAGAGACAGTGGTTTATAGATGATATGACTGGCTAAGTAAAAAACTCACATGACTCTAGAGAAAAATTATTAGGACTAATAAGTTTAGCAAAGTTGTTACATACAAAATAATCAATACAAAGATGCTTGCATTCTTGTACACTAGCAACAATCACTTAGAAAATAAACATAAAGCTGCTTTCAACATCCAAGAAATTAAGTACACAAATTATAGAGTAAAGCTCTTTGAATTTTCAGATTCAACACACCCATGTAATTCATGCCCAGATCAAGAAAGAGAGCATGACCAGCCTCCCCAGATCTCTCTCCTGTCACCTTCTCGTCACTACCCCNGCTGTAGAGGGCACAGTGTCACTGGCCCTCATGTGGGATCCGAACCGGGGCCCTGCTGCTCAGAGCTGGTGTCCCAAGCCAACTCCTAACCAACGCGCCACTCAGCCGGCCTTTTACTGGGTTTTATTACACAGCCATGATCGATTAAATCATTGGCCACTGGTGACGAACTCAATCTTTAGCTCCTCTCTCCTCCCTGGAGGTCAGGGGTGGGCCCAGAAGTTCCAACCCTCTAATCACATGGTTGGTTTTTCAGGGGACCAGCCCCCATCCTTGAGCTCTCTAGCGCCCCTCCGTTCAGTCACCTCATTAGCATAACTCAGATATGGCCCCCCAAAAAACACTTCTGTTACTCAGGAAATTCCAAGGGTTTGGAAGGTCTATGCCAAGAACCAGGGACAAAGGCCAGATGATGATGATGTTTTTTATTATTATTCCATGATCTTATAAACAAAATTATAAAACCAATTGAATGGAGAAACTGTTTTTCTTTTCCACTCATAGAACTACTTCTATACTCCAAATGTGGGTTTTTTCCCCAGACCAGGCAATTCTCTGGTAATAGCTCAGTGTCCTACAATTTAACTCAATTCTGACACTGTCCACCTGGAGATAGTGTCAGATCCCACAGATTAAGAGTTCGGTTTCACAAGACTGACCCCCCACCACCACTTTAAATACCACTCGCACATCCAGTTGTCACCTGGGCTTCTAACTGACCAGCTATAAATTGGAGGTTACCATAACCCTCTGTTTGGGTTTGCTAATTTGGTAGAATGGCTTGCAGAAAGAACTCAGGAAAACAATTTACTTACTAGATTCTTAGTTTATTATGAAACGATAACAACTCAGGAACAGCCAGATAAAAGAGATCCATGAGGCAAGATATGGGAGAAGGGCTCCGAGCTTCCAAACCTTGTCCAGGTGAACCATCCTGCCTGCTTTACCACGTGTTCACCAGCCTGGAAGCTCTCCAAACCCAATCATGTAGGATGTTCATGGAGGCTTCATCACAGTCGTGACTGATTAAATAATCATTGGCCACTGGCAATTAATTGAACTTCCAGTCCCTCTCCCCACCCAGGAAGTTGGGGTGAGGCTGGAAATTCCAACCCTCTAATAACATGGCTGGTTCCCCTGGCAACCAGCCCTCATACTTACCGTGTTTCTTCGAAAATAAGACCTAACCGGAAAATAAGCCCTAGCATGATTTTTCAGGTTGCTCGTAACATAAGCCCTTCCCCAAAATAAGCCCCAGTTAAGATCGTCAGCCAGACATGACTGTATTTGAATAAATGTAGATGTTTGTACATGAATAAATAAATAAAATGCATCTTTTGGAGCAAAAATTAATATGAGACCCGGTCTTATTTTCGGGGAAACACAGTAGGAGCTTTGCAAAAGATATTAATATAAACTCTAGTGCAGTTGAAAGGGACTTGCCATGAAATGAAAGACACTCCTTTCACCTCTGTTCTTATCTACAGAGCTCTCTCAATGCCAGGAATTTCAGAGCTCTCTGCCAGGAAGTGGGTCAAAGCTCAAATATGTATTTCTTAGTGTAAATCACAGTATTACACTAATGAAAACTCAAATTAGTATGTTAAAGAACAAAATTCACCTGAGTACATTTGGAGATCTAATTGGCTTTATGAAGCAATTCTTGAGTGGGGCAGCTTTCCATCTAGCAGCTAGAAGGCGCTCTGATGAGCTGTGCAAGATGGAAAGTTTTTATAAGCCAAAGGAGATGGGATTCCCTTGGGGAAGGCAGGGGGTGTCTTATCAGCCAGATCACTTCACTTGGTGTTGACCAGGAAATGACAGACTAATTGATTTAAAATTCCACTCCTGGGAGAGGCTAAAACTGCAGTTAGGTACATTTTTTAAGTTTTGGTTTGATGACAGTGGCTTAGTAAAAGGGACTGCCATTTTTGCTGTGTTTTTGTTTTTTGGGGTTTTTTTTTAATCTTCACAACCACCTTCATACGGGAGGGGTTCATCCCATTTTCCAGATGAGGACTCAAGGAAGAGAAGAGGTTACAGCTAGTGCCAGGTGTGGCTGGGTGAGAGCCCCTGGAATCCACGGTGGCCCCTAGCCACTCTGCCCTCACTGCTCTTTTCTCCTTCCTGCTCTGTGAGGTCCACCACCCTTGGTTCTTGGGAGGGCTGACCTTTTCTTTTTTTCTCCTTTGTACCTGTTTTGCCTGAGGCTGTGGTTAGAAGATTAATATTAATAAAAGTCTTTCTGGAAATTAAAGAGAGCCTTAGTTACAGTTAAAAACCTTTGTGGCTAAAAGCTTTTCTGAAAGAAAGGGTGTATGAAGCCATATGAAAGCCAGAAAAGGATCTGGTCCTGGGACATACTCTACGCCACCAGCAGTAAGGCTCCGGGGAGAAGACAACATGTCCACTGCCCTGGGGCTGACAGGGCCCTTTTATACAATGAGTCTGGGAAAGAAAGGTGTAAGTTGTTTTGAAAGAATTTACCTTGGCTATAGATAAAGGAGGGCGGGGTGGCTGGGAGGGCGGAAAAGGTGAAGTAGGGACAGTTCCGGGATAGGTGTCGAGTCCATAAGGGAGAAATATTTTCTTGGTTGTAGACAATCAAATTCATATATACGCATGAACTGGTGGCGGGCCTTTTTTTTTTTTTTTTTTTTAAGATCGCCACCTGGAAGTTTATTCAAAGTTTCAACAAACATTCAGGAATGTGAGCAGTCTTGA